CTTGATGATTTCCTTGGGCAACTAAACGGGCTTTGAAGCGAGCTATGGATCCATCGGCATGATGTTTAGTCCGATAAGTCCATTTACATCCAAGGATTGAGGCATTCGGAGGAGGTGCGACAAGGCTCCAAGTGCCTTGTTTTTGAAGCGCAAAAATTTCTTGATACATAGCTTGACGCCACTCTGGATGTTTGGACGCAGCAGTATATGTAGTGGGTTCAGGAATAGTGGGTGGAATTTGCTGATGAAACAGATTAAGTTTTCGAACAGGCTGAAGCGTTCATGTCCTACTCCGAGTGGTCATAGGATGGCGGGGAGGAATACGGGGAGAATCTGATGGTAATGAGATGGGTAAAGGCATTGGTGAAGGTAACGTAGTAGATATGTGATGACTAGAGGAATTGAAATTGGAATTTTGTGAGGGGCTCGGAGAAGAATTGATGGACATAGTTTGAGTTGTGGGGTATTGAGCGGATGGAGGAATCAGAAGTGAGGGAGGAATCTCATTAGGAGCAGTCGGAGGCAGGCTATTGTTATGCTGAAATGGGAAGGAATGTCTTCCGATGAATAATTAGACTCTCCATATTTTGTATAATATTTATTGAATAGGATTTTGATGAATTTTCTATAAATGAGAAATTTGAGGAGAAGACCAATATCAAAAGCTAATTAATAATTACATTAATGATAATAGTAATAATTTCAAAATTGTAAATTACAAGAATGCTTTAATGGAGTACTATGTTAGAGAGGACCTATAGATTTTAGGTTTAAGTTTTTTTGTTAATATACTTCTACTTAATCATGAGGCAAAAAATACTATTTTTTACTAAGATGTTACTATTTGTGGAAGAAGAAGAGGAAAGTATTAATGGGAGAAAATATTAAAATGGCTTAATAAGAATATATTACATATTGAAAGGAATGTCCACAAGATTAAGAAAAGGATTAAGATGAAATTCACAATAAAGTATCCAGTTAATAGGTATATTGTATCATTACAATAACGAGCATATGAAGCTATTCTAACATTATGAAAGATATGGTTTGAATTTGTTGGAGGAAGTTCTTTTGGATGTCGTGCAGGACAAGCAATAGGATGTTGACAAATAAACATTATTTGATGTAAGTTAACTTATCTACCAAACTTATATTATTATGTTTATGAGAAATGGGTATAAAGACCTAAGTTATATTTATTATTTTAGGTTAAATGAATTATATTATGCTAAATAGGAACAAATCTTAACTTTTATATAGGTCAAACTTGTTAGAATGATGGAATCAAATCCGACCGGCTGATAACCTGAATACTTGAACATTAGCTAATAACCTATTTTAATTTTTTTAAAAAATATTTTTTATAACTTGAGAACTATATAGTTTAGGTAAGTTAATAGAAAAATAATGAGAGCATTCCAACAAGCAAAAGAGTTTAACTGTTAAAATTAAACTAGTCATTTTTGGATTAAAATCGGATTGATGGATCAACTTGAACATAACCTATTTATTAAACGGGTTAAATCGAATCTGAATTTTTTTTGGATTGGGTCCAAATTAGGTCATTTTTTTGAAAAAATTATTAGGAGCAGCATCAGGACGTGTCTGGAGGCCAATTCGGACTCGCCACGTCACCCAATGTACAGTGCATTGCTTGATATGGCGAGTCTGAATTGACCTTCGGACGCGTACGGACGCCGCATAGAATAATCTCTCCATTCTTACATCTTTAAACTGTGGGCTCCAAAAATTCGGCCCCGACCTCCCCTGCATAGGAGAGTTTTAACAATGTTTCAGGTCAAATTTTCAGAAGGCAGATGAACTTTGGGATAAAACACTACCCAGAGATTTCACCCTCATTTGTGTGAGGACTTTAAAATATGGTTCTAGGTTTCCCATAGGTGCAAGCACCAATGGTTAATTACCCATCTCGATCACGAGAGAGCACTTTCGATTAAGACTAGTCATGAAGTAGGTACAAAATATACAGCATATAGTAGCAACATGTGAATTTTTTTTGTAAATTTATAAATTTATTATTTTTATACTGGATGGTGGGGGGAATGATGATGAGCACAATCAAGATCCCATGATTCCGTCGTCCCGGGCTATCGTGGTCCCTCCCTAGTCTACTTAGTCAGAGGAGGTGGTCAACCCAACCTAACAGAAGGATCATTGTCGGCAGTCATGGGTTGCTTCGTCCAAGGGGACCTTGTAGACATGGGGTGGATGCTTATTTAAAGAGACAAATTTTAGTCAACCTTAGCTAACAGAAAGCTTTATGCCTTATTAAATGCACCCTATAATTCATTACTCAAGGGGCTTTTAACCATTCGAGAACATACGAGCTTTGACCGTAACCGTAATATAGTGGTGCTACTTTGTAGCAAAACCCGGTCAGAGGGCACATGCCACGTCTCCGCTGGCGAGAAATCATTTGAGAATGAATCATAGTGATACATTCAATTAGACATTTTGATCTTTGTGAGTTGAAGTTATTCTGAACTTTATCATCCTTAACAAACGTTTGCGGATGATGGATGGAATTTTGCTTTAAGTTTTAAATAATAAATTTTATTTGAATATTTTAAAATTTATCAATATTTTATTCCAAATATGCATGTTTTGAAGTCCCCTCCGGTTGAGATTAGCTTTCAACACGACCATCATCGGGGCGAATTTGGAGTCATTTGCAAATTTTTATAATTTATAGAAATTTGAGGGCATTTAAATAGTTGATCCCCTCCGGTTGATATAAACATTCAACACGATCATCATCGGGGATTAAATAGCACGTATATTAGGCTTTTCAAATTTAATATGCACGCTTCTCGATGTTATGACTTGCTTCTCAAGGCGGTAGCACTCTTCTCGGGGCAGTCGCTTGCTTCCCAAGGCTGCTACACGCATTTTAGAGGCGTCGATACCTTACTCCATGTTGCATATTGAAATTTAGAAAATTATTTTTGAATGCAGGAGGGGGGCATTAAACGCCTTCTGTCTGCTTATAAAAGTGGTGCGGATCCGATGGCGTTTAGGTGATTTATTTATTTTATTATAATCTTCAATATAGTGTGCCTTTCAAATGTACTTTGAATTTCATGAATGAGCATTCTCATATGTCTTCCTTAACAATCTTTTTGGAAAAGCTCACCTCCTTTGGCATATTCCATCACAAAACAAATCTTGAATTTTTTTGTTATATATATAACTTCTGCAAATTGTGCATATTTGGATGCCTTACTAATCTCATTATTGATATCTCATGTTTGATCTAATCCATGAGCTCAACAATGAACCTCTATCCTTTGTCAATCATTTTTATAACAATACACTAATTAGTACTGATAATCACCAAATTTTGTTGTCTCAGTAAGTTACCAAACTTACGCAATTGTAAACATATTTTGTTCATCATTATTATCTGATATATTTATATCAAGCATCAAAAAAATTTATGCACTTATTTTAATCAAATAATGATTTGAAACACAAGGATTTTATTTGATTTTGTCAAATTAAATAATGGAGGCACTTGTATAGCTTGTTGAGTCTCATTTTGATGCTTTTTGGCATCAATTGGAAAGCTTTTCAACCAAATAACAATCAAAGCTCTATTTGTTTTTTTTTTTTTTTTCAATATTTTGATATTTGGCTTGGACTAAATTTATTCTAACAAGATAAAGATGTATCTCAAGCAACATAAAAAAAAAATAAAAAAAAATAAAAAAAACAAAAAAAAAAAAAAAAAAAAATGTATCTCAAGCAACATGCAAGAAGATGTAGGCTCTTATTATAAATCACATTAACCTCACTGTCAATTTCTTAAATTTATATCAGCATGTATGTTGAGATTGATCCAAGGGTGGCTGATTTTTTTTTGTTCATCATTAGCATCAGCATAGGATAGTGAGGAAGATAATAAATGCATCATTCCTTTGGCTGTGATTGCAATTATCTTTGATAATTATTTTTGCTAACTGATTTAAAGTCATATCATGAGTAATATCATTAATCTGCTTGGAATGAAAGAGCAAAATTACAAGCTCAAATATTCTTTAAAGAAAACTTATTTAGTTTGAATTCAAAATTTATTCCAAAAGTATTAGTTTGAGTTCAAAAAGAAATATTTCAAAATGATTTCATTTGAGTTCAACAAATCTTTCAAATTATTAAATTTGGGTTCAAGAAATATGTCAAAATTATGTAATTTGAATTTAACAAATATCCCAAATTATTAAATTTGGTCTTTTGATCGTCAAATTTTTGGCAGCATCCCGACGTCTCCCCCGCATTGGGGGCATCTACAGGAATTTTAGGCCTGCCCATCACGCGCAATAAAGGCGTGTATGGTTGGTGTCCATTTACGTAGACATCGCGGCCGTATACTTTCTTCCCACCACGCGCAATAAAAGCTCTAAATATATTGACGAAGCTTGTTTAACAAGTGGAGGCCATTTGGATAGTGTTTTGCTAGCGTCGCATCCACTAACATGTTGTCGTTTGATCGAGTCGCATACGAACAACTTCTATTTGAAAATTTTGATGTCCTGAATGCATCGATGTGCGATGTGATCCATTTTGTAATCGAACAAAACTTTAATCATTTCATTATGATCGAAGCACTCTAATCTTCGTTCTAAACGATGTTTTACGTGCCACATATAGTATGTAGAGGTCAACATAAACATTGTACTAGAATCCTAAATCAATGATGAATTTTATATCATTTATTTTATTATACAATATTGATACAATTTTTAAGATATTATTTATACGTAAATAAACTTTTTAATCAACAAAATAATATTACTTAATTACTAATATTATTATTAAGTCTATCGAAGTCGGATTACATTTAACTTTACACATAGGTAGTTTGACGCATATGACCCGTTGAAGCCCGCCCATCCAGCTGCAACCCGCCCATCTACTGCAACGCACGCTCCAAAGTATTTATAGACTAAAGCGAGCGAGTAAGGGCTGAGGAATTAAGGAGGAGGAAGTAGAGATGGATACAACGGAGGGCCGTCTGTTTGAGGTGAAAATAGGGAAGGGAAGAGCGTGGAAGTGGTTGTACGCGGGCTCAATGCTACTGGGGTTGCTTCTGATTTGGGTGTACAGGGCCTCGCACGTGCCGGAGGCCGGAGAGAAGGGGAGGTGGGCGTGGACGGCGGTGTTCGCCGCCGAGCTATGGTTCGGCTTCTATTGGTTTCTCACTCTCTCCGTTCGCTGGAACCCAATTTACCGCTTTACCTACAAGGACAGGCTCTCCCATAGGTACCCTTTCTGTTTCTCTCTCTAAAGAGATATTTTTTAGATGAGTTTACCTTAAAATTTTCCTGAATCGATATTTGATCATATTTTGTTCATTGTTTTCTGTTTTGTTAGTAATATTAGACCATTAAAAAAAGAGAGAAGACGCAGGCAAAGTTTTTTAAACGAAAGTCTTTACAAAATTACGGATCATACTTTGCTTCTCAGACTTTCTTGTTGTTGAATTCATAAGATTCTACGAAATATTATGCTACTGAGCAAATAACTTAAAAAATAAATTTAAAGCAATAAGAGAGACAGAGAGAGAGAGATTGCTAGGCTTTGTTTGTAATATTTTTTAGTGCTTTTTTAATAATAATAATAAAAAGAATTAGTTAAAAACTAAAGCTTATTTGAAAAATAAAAATTTTCAACATTTTTAAAATTTTTATTTTTTAAAAATTGTTTTAGGAGATTTAGTTTAAAATTATAGTTAAAAAAGCTTTTAAAAGTAAATATATAAAAATTTTAATGACCCCAAATAAAACTTTAGAGACAGACGTAATTTTATCTGTTTGGGATAGTTTCTGTGTTATTTTGTTTTTTTAGATCTCAATCATAATTTATTATTATTTTTATAAAATTTTGTAGTAAAAATTTTATTTTTATAACTTAGAATAACTAATTTAATTTTCTAAGGCCACATTAAGAACTAATTTTATAAAAAAAATACAATGGTTCTAAATAAATTCTAAGGATTTTATTTGGGATAATTTTTTTATTGATTTCTAAAACAATTTTTTAGTTAAAAATTTTCAAATTCAAAAAAAAAAATTATAACAAAAAAATACTTCATAAAGCAATAAGAAATAGTCCCAAATGAAATCTAAATCTCTTTATTTGATTAAGTAAAGTAGGTAATTAAAAAAAAGAATATATGCCAAACGAATTAATTTAAACTTAAAAAAAAAAATTAATTTAAACTAAGTTCGCATTAGCTCGTAATTGATGTGAAGGCACTCTTTGATATGAAGGGACTTTGAAATTCCTTTATTCAAATTTTCATAAATTTG